TATTGTATTTGTTGATCATATCGAAAATAGGCGTGAGCTTGTATGGCAGAGGCGAGTGCAAGATTTACAAACCTCCCTGAATACTTGACATTTATGTGTCTAAAAATAGAATGATATTGAGAAACCAGCCGCTGATTACAGTTGGCTGTTGTCTAACTTGGTTCTGACTGTTGACCAGACGACTGGAAGCTAAAACGTTCAATCTTTTTATGATCAGTGAATGCACCGTAAGCGTTACTAGATAGTTCTGACAAAGGCACTTCTCTGTGTGAACACTGTCACTGAGTGAAGCAGGTTCAAAGTTAATATTGTATTTTGTACAGCATAACACATGTTATGTTCATAAATTGGGGGAGGAAGAGAGCAATACTATAAATGGATAATAAGAAGGTTGATTGGGGTACACAAAAGATGGCTGGTTTTATCCTTAAGATCTTGTAACCTCTGTTGGTAGCAGAACATGGATTTGAAAATGTTTTCTTTTTAGCCAAAAAGTAAGAATCTACTTAATATATTGCGCTCTTCACACTTTGGCATTCATCTTAGTGATTATTAATTCTGGACTACACATAGAAGGAAGGCAGGAAAAAAAATATTTTTATGCTTTTCTTGCATCTGTTGATGTTCTAGTTCTTAAAACGGAATCAGCATTTATTAAAACGGGTGTAGGCAAGTCAAAGCTTTGCAAAAATGTATAAGTCACATATATCAGCCACTAAATCAGTGCGTCACTACATAAAACCTTTGGTTATTGCAACTGCATATGCGCAATCACATTGAATATAACAATGATGAATTGTGGTATTTGTGTTGGAGCTTCCAGTTTTGTTATGAAAAACTGAAATGAAGCTCATTATTCTCCAATTCGCCACATAAAAATAGTTTTCTTCATACTTTACTTGGTTTTATGAAGACAAAAGATTTTGCTAAGCTCCTTTCTCGCTGTCTTTTTCCAACCCACCCCGTCGGTTCCACAAAACAACAGAACTGCATCAAACTGAAAAAAAATAAACAAAAAAAACTGAGACTTGTTCTGTTGTTGCAAATGTGCAACAAATTGCCTTTGGTTTGGAAGCATGTACCTCACTGTGCACCTGTGTGCATGTTTTTGCATACTGATTTCATGCTGGCTGCTGGCCCTTTGCAGATAAAGCCTGGTCTTTTGGGGGCCCACTTGTGGCAGACTGATATTGCCTCTCAGTAATGCCAAGGAGCTTAGGGACGTGTGCGGACCCCCAGGCGTCAGTCCAACACAATTAAGAACAAGGAAAGCAGCATGTGTGCTGTAAACAGGGACCAAAGGCCATAGTCTCTGTCTTGTTTGTATTGTTCTGATACCTCTTTACTCGTCTAGACAGTGTGGAGAATTGTTCTGATATTAAATATTTACACTTCTTCCCTGCAGCTCTGTGGGCAATATTGACTGTCCTTGCTTTACTTTGGTGTCCAGAAAGGAGTTTTAATTTTCTTGAGGTATTTTAAAGTTATCTTGTACACCTATGTGATAGGGTTCCTCGTTTTCTCCTTTGTCACTGAGCTAATATCACCTACAGTGTGCAGAGTAGTTATCAATTCTACCTGGCGAATATTTACTTTAAGAATTAATACGAGTACCTGTAATTTTGCAGGTATCTGTATAGAAAACAGCAAGTTTACATTTTTTTCCCAAAATTATGTTATGTGCGTTACATTGCTATATTCGTGGGAGCTATACCTGAGACCCCCTCTAAAAACACAAAATTGCTTTTTTAATAGTTCAAACCATATATATATATATATATATATATATCAGTATGCCTTAAAATGCTCAGTAGAAACCATTTAAGCACTACATCAGAAGCTAACATCTGCAGTTTTTATCTCTTCTATTTGGGGGCGCAGCCAATCAGTGCCAAGGAAAATGAATTGCACTCCTGGGTTGGCTGTTTCACAGACGCCAGTCAAAAGCATATGGCTCTAAGTAGCGTTGCGCCCAGATATTTCAGCTACCTTAGCTGCATTATATTTTGAATGTTTTAGCAAAAATCTGCAACTGTGTGAATTTTGAGCGAATAATTTGGAGTTACGTTCCTCGTAAAAATCAACGAATGGTTAAATCCACAAACACTGACCTACAACTAGCCTGATGTCCACTGTATATATTTTTTGGATGCCTTTGCTTAAAAAAGCTTTTGTTAAACTTCGATTTTCATAAGAATGCAAATTTTGTGTTCAGTCAACCACTTATTGCATTGAAAAAGAAAGAACGCAAACAATGATTAGTTATTTCAGATTCACGCAGCATCTTTCCTCAGCGGTCACACTGAGGAATGCCCCCTTAAACCACCTTAATATTTAGACGAGTTTACAAATTACGAACATTCGACTTGCCGTACCAGAAATATTATATTTACATATAAATATTTTGGTTGCACAACCTGAGCATTTCTAATAATGAGCTCATGCATGTATCTTATGCTCTTTTTTTTTCTTTTTGTACTTGCGGTATGACGTCGTAGAAGGCTGCACGTAAGATCCTGTTTTCTTTTATCAGCTTCTGGAAAGCAGCAAGTACACGTGTGAAAACACACAAGTGATTAAACTGCACCACAAACCTTCCACTCAGTTTGTAAGGTGTTACCAGTGTGGCTAAATGCCTGCGTGTGGGTATTACTGGGTGCAAAGGGAATGTAGGATTTCACCACCAGAGCATGGGGGGGATTATCTGCTTTCCAAGGCCACTGACACATTACAGTCAGGCCCTGCTAAAAGCTGTGGAAGCTTCTGTTGTCAGCCCCATGAAAAAGAACCAACATGTGTCCCAACAGTATTACATCAGATAAACAGCAAAAGCTCTGCTGACATAGAATTACAATGCAGTAAGATGTGGAAGCATGACATCTACAGAAATATTTTCCTAAGTGTCGTATTGTATTTTGATTCGAATAACACATTTCTGTATTCAGAACTCGGTGTTTACTAGTGAAATGATTAGACTTTTCCTGACCAATTCTTACTTCCAATACGCTTTTAATAAGGGTTCTTTGTTCAGTTAGATTTTCTCAAAGATTAACAAAAAAAAAGTGCAAGAATGTCAGGTAATCTTAGTGTTGCTGCATCTAATTAAAAGAAAAAATGATACATTTTCTTTTCCATTTGACCTTATGAATGCCACTAAGGACTGGCCACTGGATGTATACTAACTTGTTGGTTTAATAAATACACCTATCCCATGGATTATTAACAGAAATAGAAAATCTGTGACTCACATGGCAGCAACTCAATGCATTTAGGCATCTCAACATGCTGAAGTCGACTTCCTGAAGCTCAAACTGAGCATCAGAACGCGAAAACAAAAAAAAAGGAGATTTAAGGGATTTTGGCTGTTGATGCCTGACATCCTGGTCTGACTGTTTGTTTTCATCTGCTGGGATCTTCACACACAACTGTCTCTTTTGTTAACTTTTTTACACACAATAAAGAGCGGTTTATTACCACGTATTGCTGTTTGTCCACAATACATTGATTCTCAAAGCAGATGAGCAACTGCATGAGAAGAAAACACCAGGTCAGACTCAAGTCATCTAAAATCAAATAAAATGAGGCTGCACTTCACCAAAATGGGGATATTTCTCGTCACAGTTTGGGCTTCTTAGAACCAATGTAACCTTGTTTAATCGCCCTATCCTGAGTATTGTTGGTGACCATACCCATCCCTTTATGAACCCAGTGCACCATCAACTAATTGGCTATTTCCAGCAGAAAAACAAGCCACATTACAAAGCACAAATCGTCTCTCTGTTCTCGACCGTAATGTGGGTTTTGCAATACTCTAGCTCCCTCCTTCGTCTCTTGATCTTAATCGAACAGAGCCTCTTTTGGGATTTTGTGGAATGAGAGATTTGCATTATGGACGTGCAGCCAACAAAATCTGCTGGAACTGAGTGATGCTATCATCTCTGGAGAATGTTTTCAACATTTTGTTGACTCCATGCCACAAAAAAAAAAAAAAAAAAAAAAGCAGCTTCAAAGGCAAACGGTGGTCAAATCTGGTCCGAGCTAGTTGTACTTAACGAATGAAAAATGAGTTTCTATCATTCGTTTTTAGCACTCCGTAGCACTTTTTAGCTTTGTTTGGATTGCAGTGAATGAAGGAAATTCCCGGCTTTAGGTGATGTTACAGAAAAAATGAGAGGAAGAGATGGGTTGTGGGTGTTTACAGGATAGGAAGTGGCACAGTGTGAGAGGTTAACTGTACTGGGGTGGGCTGGAAAGAGATGAATGCAATGTTAGATGTGCAGAGGCATCAGAGTTGTGTACCTGGAAGTCATTAGGGGGGTTTGTTTGTCCTCAGCCTCAGTGGGAATCCGCCTTGCACAGCTTCGTGGAGGGAGCGGATTGATTGACATCTCAGCAGTGAATCAGGGATTAAAGGGGATTTTGTGGTTGTTAGTGTTTGTGTGGTTGGAAGTATCGATTCATATTTCTGTGTCTTATTTACAGGCTGTGGTGGAGTTGGGTTCATATGGTGAAGGGGTATCGTGAGTGATAGAAGTGCATGAAAAATTTAGAGTTTAAGTTTACACAGGCGTGCAAAAATGAAACAAAGGAAAACATCATTCCGTCAGAACAGTCATGCGTGATGCTTTTATCTTATTTAAATTCAGCCTTGGAGCTTTTCCAAAGCGGTATAAAGTTATACCATTATTGTTTTTCAAAGACATCTGTCTCATATTTTGAGACATATTGCTTCCTGAAAGATTCCACACATCATTGCTTTTGTTGTTGGATTTTTTATTTTTTTTTTACTATAATTTACATTATCTGATGAGATTGTAGCTGCTAAAACAAAAGATTTACATTCTGTTACATTTCTGGTATTAATTGCCTGTTTCTCTTAGTCAACTTTACTGGGGGATTATTTGGTATGTTTCTTTATGGCTCTAAGTTGCGACATATTCAGTGTTCTACTTTAACATGCAGAATTAATACACAGCTTATTTCCCCACTTCCCTTCCCAGGGTCTCGTCTCCGACAGGAAGACTTCCCACCCCGGATTGTAGAGCACCCGTCTGATTTGATTGTGTCCAAAGGGGAACCAGCCACGCTCAACTGTAAGGCAGAGGGCCGTCCAACCCCGACAGTGGAATGGTACAAAGATGGCGAGCGCGTTGAGACGGACCGAGACAACCCGCGCTCCCACCGCATGCTGCTGCCCAGCGGATCCCTCTTCTTCCTGCGCATCGTCCACGGACGTCGGAGCAAGCCAGACGACGGCAGCTACGTCTGTGTGGCCCGAAATTATCTGGGCCAGGCGATCAGTCACAACGCATCCCTGGAAGTAGCTAGTAAGTGCCGCTGTTCTCCCCCCCCTGTCTGATTGTGTTGATATCCACCAGTTTCGTTAGAACATGTTGCCTGAAAATAGTCCTATAGAATAAATCTACACAAAAAAACATTAAACATACGGTAGCAAAGCGAGAACATGCGAAAAATATCCTTGATATATCGGGGCCACTGGTCACGGATGTAACAGTCGTTAATCACCCCGAGGTTAATCCTTAACCTCGAGGTTCCTGCTGCATGTCCATCTCTTCCTCTCCATTTTCTACTGGATAGCTTTGACTAATGGCCACTGGTGCTACAAAATGTAAAAAAAAGAAAACAAATTATGTTCATTTATGTTTATCCCCTTTACTCTGACAGCCCCCCGATAAAATTCAGTACATCCAATTGCCCTCAGAAGTTATTCAGTTTCAAAATAAACATGTTAGGACATGCTAGAGATTAAAACAGTGAAACATAAAACATACGACAAACATACAACAAGGGGATCCGTACAGTCCTCTCATGCTGTGATTTATCAGTGGTAATGAATGACCTCCTCTGTCTATTTTTACATTGTGTTTTGGAAACTGGCACTGCTATTGCCATCTCAATAGCGGCAAGAAGCCTTCCATTGTTAAAAGAACGCCCTGTCTGAAGTTTGCCACAGGCCATACATGTAAAAGAAGTTCTCTGTTATTTTGACAATGATATTAAACTTTTTGCCGAGATGCGAAATGCTGTGAGGATGCTTTTCTTCTGAAGAGATACGGACCTGGTCAAAATTCATGGGGAAACTAACATGCAGGAAAACCCTAAAAAAAAAAAAAAAAAAAAAAAAAAAGTTTGAGGCTATAAAAGACTTTCCTTGTTATCCAGCAGGACAACATGACAGCTTTCCTTCACAGTTATGAACTGATTTGTTTATACATGGCACAGACTTTAAAACTCTCCAGCCTTGTTGAGTCATGCATGTGTAAAAGTGTTGATGTGCTTCCAGCTGAACGGGTCTATCTCAAGCAGGAATCCATCAGGTTGCTTACAGCTATAATAAATGTCTGTATGTTAAATGCAGTGATGGAAGGATGCCCTTAGAAAGGGCAAAGAGCAAAAGGTCAGTATATGCAACCTTTGGAGAAATATCCTCAACAAAGAAGGCCACATGGGGATGAAGTCCCATTGGAGCAAAGGTTTTCCAAATCCGAAAACACTGGGTAATAACACGCATAAAGAAGGCATTGATTGAGGGAGGTGTTGGTGACAAGGGTTAACGACCAGAGACATGCCCGCACACACAGCACACTTCTCCATCGTTTACTGTCAAGCCTCTGCTTTGCTTAGCTGTGTCAGCTTTCACAGCTTCAACCTCTAGGGTTTGCACCAAGGTTTTACAATAATGACGGCCCTCCAGTGTAAGTTTTACCTTTTGCATCATAATGAAGGCAATGGTCAAAGTGTATCACAGTAATGCTAGATCAGCAGTCTGACCTCGGAAAGCCAAGGCCTCTCAGAGGCGGGTGGGTAGGGTGGAGGTGGGGGGGGCGGGCGTGCGGAGAGTTTATTACTTGTAGTTCACAAAATTTACTGCAAGGCTTTAGGGTCGAGGTGGAACACAGAGAAGACTTGTTGAAGCTGCTCGGATGAATTATATTTCCTTACTTCATCCTTCAGAGGTCACACAGATTCATGGCTCACCCTGGGGCTAGGTGGTTAAACAGAACTGCCTTTTGGAAAAAGCTGCTGAGACAAAGAGATCCCATGACGGAGAAAATGGAAAAGAAGGACTTACCTTGCGCATTGGCTGAGTTTCTCTTACGTATTTTGTTTTTTAGATTAGTTTTCATGCAGTGCTGAAATCGCTCACCAAAGTTAGCAACTACTGCGGAACTAGGGAGAAGCTCTTGTGCTGGCAGTCATCTTACAAAGATGTCTAATTGTGCGAGATGACAGCATAAACAATTAAGAAACATTTATCACTTTTGCGGCTGCCTTTTCTGTATGCGGTAAAAGGAGTAAACAGTGACAGTTCAGAAGACGGATAGTTTATTAGCCATCTGTGAATACCACAAAAAGCTGTTAGCCACTAACAGCTTTTTAAAGACTCTTAGCCGGTCAAAACTGAACTCTTGAGATTTATAAAACTGGTAATTGTGAAAGCTGTGGGAACATTATTTTGTTGCTCTTAGCCCCTAAAACCACCTTAATATTTAGACGAGTTTACAAATTACGAACATTTGACTGGCCGTGCCAGAACTGGAGCATAGTATGCTGATTACTCGGGAAGTGAAGAGCTCTTGTGGTATGAGAGATCATCGCAATTAAAAGCTGTGGTATTTCTTGTCAAAGTGAAGTATGTCTCACAACGTTCCTATCAGGATGTGATTTCGTCTGACGTAGAAAATAAAAGCTCTAATTATGTGGCTCTGATATGGTTTAAGGGCTTAAAGTTTGACATCATGTTGCATCCATATTTAAGATTTTTACTTTGAAATAAGACGATAGTTCCTGTTTTGTCCCATTGTGACGTCTGCTCTCGCGTGCCTCATTGAACTGGCTTAAGACGCTCTGCTACAAACACCTCGGAGAAACCCCCACCATGTTTAAATAGTTTATGAGACAGTCTTTTGGATACTCTGTAGTAAAATAAAATGTGACAGGCAGGAAACGGTATGAATGAATTGACATCTATTAGTCATGCACTCCACAAATCTGGCTTGCCTGGAAAAAGTGGCACAAATATAGTCAGTTTTAAGCTAAAGACATAAAAAAAAAGTCTTCCATAAAGTTTGTCACAAGCCATGTAGGCAAATTAAAGTAAGTGGGGAAAAAATGTACGCTCCCTGAACATAACATCCCCACAGTGAAGCATAGCATAGGCTGCATCGTGCTGGAGGGGATGCTTTTCTTCCGCAGAGAAATGGAAGCCGTTCAGAAATCCTGTGAAGATAAATGGAGCTAAACGCAGAGCAAGCCTAGAGAAGAAAAACGGTTAGCAGCTACAACACACATAGATGTTAGACGTTTCATTTTTTTTATGTTTCCGAAATGTTTTGAAAACAATTTTGTTTCCACTTTGCACTTTTGCGCTACTTTGTGTTGGTCAATTAAATACAATCCCAGTAAAATACATTATGCAACATAAAATGTACAAATATTTAAATAGAATGAGTACTTTTGCATCATGACAATCCTTACTGTGAGGTCAACTTGTTTTACTAAGGTTAATATTATCTCCTCAAGATTTTTAAAACAATTTCACATGATTTGATGTTTTTTCCTTAAAATAACAACTAAAAAAAGTAGAGCAAGCAAGACCCGATGACCTCAATTTACTGAGTGAATTTTCTGATTTCCAACCTCTTTCTAAAAATAAACGTGACGGGTCATAATAATAAATTTTACGTGACTCGTTGTCACAAATATCCCGTCACTTTAAATAACTTGATGGGTTCATCGAGTCAGCTACCCAGGCAGGCGGAGAAACAGCAGAACATCATCAAGAATCCCCCTGAGAATTAGTCATTTGATCACTCAGGAATGGCGTAAATGTGAAAATTAGAGTGGAAAAATTGGTACTTAAAAAAAAAAAAAAAAAAAACTCAGCTCGATTCCACATTAATTATCTGAATGACTTTTACGACTCTTCCCGCCGCTGTTCCGATTTAACCGAAATAAGGCGGAGATGATGAAACGTGAAGGAGGGGGCTGACAAAAGACGGCGTTGAAAGCTGACAGATGCAAAGTGATGCGAGGAGGAAAGGAGTGACAGAGACAGACGGCGATTGAATACAGAAAGGAAAGAAGTCTCTGTCCTTCAAGGCACACAAGTAAGACTTGTTGGCAGAAAATTGAGGTGACCCGTTGAGACACTGACAGATGTAGTATGTGCCGGTGCCAGAAGCGTGACCACAGGGTGGAAATACTGTGTAACTATACACAACACGCACACGGGGGGAGAGACGTGTGTGCCCACTTCCACGCATGCACACTGGAAGTCCATCTTGAAAGCAAAAGAGGAATAAGAAATAAGGCAAAAGAGAGATATAACTTGGTTCCTGTCCAATAAATGTCACAGAAGACACTCAGCATATTTTTTCTGCCGGCAGGGACCCTGGAGGACCCGGGGAAATGAACATATGTCCTATTGACCTCAGCCACTTGATTCAATCATGGAGCGCTTTATTGAGGTGAAGGCAAAGTCACCGCCCGTGTACTCTAAAGGTTATTGGATACTAGGACAGTTTTTAGGTTCAGTAAGAGGAAGGAGTAAATGTTAGTCTTAAACTAATTGGACATTGCCATTTGCTGGAGGAAAGTGAGGTTTATGGTTGGGACTGGAGGTTAAACTATAACACTGCGCTGATGAAGTAACGAGCCACAAGACAGGACTGACAACCACACAGCCATGCCGCTTCTGAGAAAATGGGAACAGAATGAGGGAAGAAAAGGTCGGCCTCTTAAAGTAAATAACTGTGATTGTCAAATTGCTGTTTGCCAAAAGGTGACAGCAAGAACATTGGAAGTTAAAATCCAAATTGGGCTTAATATTTTTTTTTTTTTGCTTTCTTACAACTGTGTATCGTCACAATGATGTAATAGCACCGTGGGTGGAAACGTGTTTAGAAATGACAACAAAAATGGTCTTGAAACACATCCCTGAGTGACTCCATTAAAACACTTTGAATGTGAGAAAAACATCCTCCCCTATTTTCTAAAAACAGGTTGTTTCAGTGCTGCAATCATGATGTGTTGTCCTTTTCTGACAAACTGTAACTAATTGGGAGTGTTTTGGAAGAAGGAAGAAATCAGCCCCATTTTAAAAAAAAAATATATTTCAAAAAATGAGGTTACAAAGACGTTCCACTGACATAATCTGGAGCTCAATCAGTGGAAAGTAAACAAACCTCCAAATTCAAAGCTGTATAGATTCAGAGACCTTGATTATACTGTACTTTGGATAACTCAGAAAATAAAGTGGGGGAAAATGATTAAAGGTGTTCCAGGAAGAGAAGTGAATGTTAAA